ATTCACACTCATATTGTGGATGGCACAGGCCAGGCAGGGCTTCCTTCTGTTGTGCCTGGTGTCACCATGAGCTGTGACGGCAGCTGACAACAACAGCAATGCACCCCTGAAGTCCAGGAAACACTACTGTGGATCTGGTATGCCAAGAGCAGAGGAAAGTGGCTTTTGCCTGTTGGAATTGGACATTTTGTTTTACTGAATTCATTGCTTTTTTTCCCCTTGGAAATTCCCTTGTCTTGCATTTTCAGCATGTATTAGAGGAGTGCTGCTTAACTGGAAGTACAGCATGGCACGCTACAAAGTACAAACGCTCATGCCAGGTCCAATTTTTGCCTTTGCTTTGTAAAACAACTGCAGAACCCATAGGTGCCGCAGAGACCTAGAGAGGTGAAGCACAGGCATGTAAACAAGGAAACCAGGTGTGGAAAGGAATCCAGGGGGAGTGTTTACTGTGTGGAAAGGGGCACTCTGAGGTGGCACAAACTGCTGGTGTGTTCTGAGCTAATGGAAAGGTTGGAGGTTTGAGTCTGCCCAGAGGTGGCTTGGAAGAAAGGCCTGGTGCTCCACTTCTGAAAAAGAGCCAATTCTGCCCTGGCACACACAAGGTCGATCGCTGTACGTCGGAATTGACGAGTCACTTGGGCTTTGTCCTTCTGGTTTATGGCAGGAAAGAGAGTCAAGGGGAATTCCACAAGAGCCATGTGGAAGCCAGGAGTTTCCATGTGACCTACATCGGGGCGACATGCCTTCATCTCAGTGGCTTTTATTCTGTACTGTAACTGAGAATAGGAGAATGGTAACTCGCTGAGAGGAAGGCAGGGAGAGAGAGGATGACAGTGAGAGCGAGAGAGACCTATGCCTCCGAATGGGCCATTGTTTTAAAGAGCTGAGATGGGATAGACTTGCAGTGAGCTGTACTCAATATAAATGCATGAAGTGGTTGGCTTACAAACTTTCATAGGTGGGGCAATGTATTAAAAGAATTATAGGATTAAGGTGTTGGTGTTACTTAACTACAATTGTTAAGCATAGAATATTGTGTTGTTCACTTATAGAATGTTCCGTTTTAATGAGGGTGCCCATTTTTTAACTGTATGCATTTTCGTTTTATCTGGTTAGGTACAAATATGATTTTTCATTGTTTGTTTGAAAATTATATATGGCTAAAAAGCTGTGTGAAAGTGTTAACGTGCCAAGTTGTGGTGTGTGGTAGTTACATAATCTGGTGTCAACTTGCGAAGGCGTGGAGTCTAGGCTGTCAATCAGGTCTCAGCTTGATGACTTCATTTGGAGGCTCCACGGAGATAAATAGCTCACTGGAGGCCAGATACACAGAGACTCTCTGCTTCGTCTTTCTGCTGACAAGACACATGGGGCTGCGCTAAAGCACTGGAGCTGGAGGAGCCATGTGAGACCCTTGCCAGGGCTGAGTTGCTTCCATCACCACTGACTTTCCACCCACCGGCCTGCGGTCTTCCTGCATTCGGTGTCATTGCATGTGTTGTGTGAGTCTGAAGAGGAATTTATAGATTGGTAATGGACATATAGGCTAATATTGGACTTATGGACTTGATCTGGACTGGGCTGGGATGTTTTCCCAGTATACGATTGCTCTCTTAAACACATATGAGTGTCTATGAATTTGTTTCTCTAGTCAACCCAGACTAACAGACTGCCTGTCTGTGGTCTGGTTTCTTTTGGGTTTAAAATTGATTCATACCATTTCTCTTTCTCACCAGATGTACCTTCCTAAGAACACTTGCTCCTCAGGTACAGGTGGAACAACTGCTAACATTTGAAGGAAATGGAAAAGATACTTATTTATGTCTTTAATTTTTTATGGAAAAGATACTTAACTTGGACAATTTAGCTCAGCTTTTCACATTCTTATCATTGGAACATTTCTTAGTTTTAGGAACGTGTGCCTAATAGTCATGGTTAACATTTTATTGCTTTTATCAACAGTGTCTGCATTTATTCCACCTAATATTTACAGCGGGTGCAAACAAACCTGTAAGGTTTGTACTGTTTGTAATTTGGAGATGAGAATACTGAGTGAGGCTTAGTAAGATTTACGTGATCTGGTCAAGATAACAGAGTGAGCTGGTGTACGAGGGAGTCCAGATCAAGTCCCCAAGACTGTTTACCTGAGATCTTTACCATTAACACCATGCATGCAATGAAAGGAGAAACCTCTAGGAAGAGAACATTGGAAGTTGTCGTGGATTTATTGTCCACCAGATTAGTTGTCAGATTTTTCCCCCTGAGGTTTACTTCTCATTTGCCTCCGCCTAGGATTGGAGCGAGGGCTGGAACAACAGACTGCTTCTCACACATTGCTATCAAGTCTGTTCTGCCTCCGAGTGACTGTATAGGACAAAGCAGAATGACCCCTGTGCGTTCCCAAGAGTGGAATCTTTTTGGGAGAAAAGCTTTATCTGACCTTGTGGTCTGCCCTGCAACCTGTAACCCACTCTGCCCTGGGGCCCTGCCTCAGATGCAGCGTGGCTGTGCTATGCTAACAGCACTTCCAGGCTCGTACAGGCAAAGGAGAGAAACGTGACTGTTGAAGGTGGTGGCCCTGGCCGACCAGGCCCTCCGTTCATCTTCACTGTGACTGTCTCCCAGTGGTGTTTGGACGGGTGATGGCTCCCGACGTCACTTATTAACGCTGAAGAATTGAGTTCCCTAATGTAGGTTTGAGGATGTCCTCTTCCGCTTTAATAGAGGTGTGATTTTTAGAAGACACATTACTGAGGAAAATTTCAATTGCACACTGAAGTCAAGGAAATAGTACAAGAAAACTGGTTTGTACCCATCGCCCAACAAATGTGATGTCAACCGCAGTTTTGACCTTCTTGGGCGCTATTTCTTATTTTTCAACGTTGGATAATGCTATCTGCTCAGGGAAGTGTAATGAGGACAGATGATTATTATTGACATCTAACCAGAGTGGCTAACACTTTATGAGTGCCACAGGGACTCACTCACTCGCACCAGGTGATTCCTGATGATCATTTGGCAAAAGAGTAAACTGAGACACATGGATGTAAAATAACAACACCGTCCTCAAATGAGAAAGCACCCAAAGCCAGGATTGGGTTGAAACCCTAAAGCCATGAAAAGCTTTTGGACAAATGGTAAAGGGCCACACCAGTGTCCTGCCATGCGCTTTGGCTGAGCCTCACCCCTGCAGGCATTATGAACTCCTGGAAGAGACAATACTGTGTTTTCAGAGCCCCAACAAGGTGAACAAAACAAAGGTCATGGCTTGGGGTTTTGATCCCCTTGCTCATGTCACTTAGCCTCCGGGTGTTCTTGTTTCTTTGCTTATTTCTGTGATTCTTGTAAGTATTTACTGCCTGGCAGCCTTTAGAGAAAGAGACCTTATAGTTCGTTCTGTGTGACCAATGTTCCTTCTTTATGTCCAGCATGCTGCAGACCTGGAAAAGAAGCAGAATGAGACAGAAAACAGGAAATTGCTGGGGACCGTCATCCAGTATGGCAATGTGATCCAGGTGGGTGCTGGGGGCTCTTCTCTGGAGCTGAGGCATGACAAGGAATGGAGGGAATGAAACAGGCTCTGGACACCCCCCTGTAGGACCCCATGCAGACAGTTCTGGCCGTGGGGGAGAGTCGCGGGCTTTTGAGCTGGGTCCCTCAGGGTCGGAATCACTGATCCTTTAACCTGTCTGTCAACACTTCAAACGGGAAAGGACGCGCCTGAAAAGAACACTGGCTCTTGCACTTTTGATCAACCTGCATTCTTTGAAAGTTCTTCTTCTTTTTATTTATTTATTTGAAGACAGTCCTTGTGTCTTTTCTCATGGCATGTAGGCTTTGTTTATCTCTCATACCTTTACACACCCATGGAGATACAGCAGAGTCAGGAGACAGCCATTGCTGGCGCTGTTCAGAGTAGCGTGGGTCTATGCAGCCTTAGAGAAAGCAGTATGTGAGGAAGTCGAGTACCAAATTTGGCCTCTCTCTATTAGTCCAGTCACCAGGTCACGTTGACCTGGGTACAAAGGGTATAAAGTTGTAAGCATCGGGCCCATTTCCTTATCTCCCTTAATTGTTTCCATTTTGAAAGGTTTTGCTTAGCTCGTAAACTTTACTAATTATAAAGGAATTCCGTCCCAGTTTTATTCATACTGGGTTATAGAGCAAGGATCAGCAGCAGCATGGGAAAGCAGGAATGTCAAATTGATAAAACCGTAACTGTGATTAAATGGCTTGTTTATATTGGGCTTTTTGAAATAGTGAAAAGAACTCCCTGAATCCTTTTGCAGCTAGGTCATGTCCGTCTCACCACCTTTTCAGGTCCTGATCAGTTGAGACTGGACAGCAGGGGCAGGTGGATGTCAGCATCAGCTATAACAGTGAGCCAACCCTGTGGCCAGACACCTACAGTAACCAGACACCCCTGTTTGGTTAGGGTGGAGAATGTGGCTTGAACTAAGGGTGAACGATGGGCATCCGGGTTAAAAATCTAATCTCTTTAAGAGAATTCCAAGTTAGGTTTTGCCACATACTAACTGAGATTTTCGGGCAAGGAATCTTGCCATCCTTTACTTTGCTGGCCGGCAAACTGCGACCGACGATGATAACTGCTGCCTAGGATGGATAAGAGATGCCTGTCACAGAGCAATTTGTGCATTGTTGTCATTGCTACCACCTCCTAACTAGATGCTGAAGTCTGCCATAGGCAAGGTTGATTAATGAGGCCAGGGCTTTTGGGCACAGCAGCTCAGAGCCTGCTCGCTAGTGCAGCAATGAGAGTTTGGAAGGCCATTGTCTTCCCTCATCTGTCAAAGCCAAGGGATGTCAAGGTCTCATGAGACAAGTGACTCCTCTACCTCCAATAACCCCATTAGAATGTTCTACCTCACTGAGTAACCAGATCTGTCAGCAGTAAAAAGGGAGTCTGGGTATTCATCATTGGAGTCCTGTGTCACCCTTACTGTTTCTCCGAGGACTGGGCATTCTTCCACATTCTCTTCCATCTTCTCTCATGGCCTTCTGAGTTAGGAAACCTGGGCCAACACTCTCTGGTCTAGGCCTTCTGCCAGACAGGTGATTCCCTACCTGGATCCTCAGTCTCCCCAGCCAATTGTACATGCAATACTCAATTCCTAGGAAATCCACAGTGGACGTGCAGGACGTTGACTTTCTTCTACATGAGATGACAGCCCTCTATTGGGGTCACCTTGTATATGGAAGTGTTGTTGGTACTCAAAAGTGCCCTTCCTTTGCCCTGCCTGTGTGTCCAGGATGACTTGTCCTGCACACAGTAGGTCCTGCCCCACTAACACAGACCACAAGCTGGATCCAGCTACCAGCACACTTGTTCAGAGCAGCATCCTCCTTATCCAAGGCTATGCTGGGGCGGGGGTGAAACTATTTCTCTCTTCTGACTTCCGCTTCCCCTACCCATGCTGCCTTCTCTCCTAATTATCGCCAGCCTCAGGCCCTCTGTGAGTCTCTGAATTCATAAGCTGCTCAAGGGAAGGAGGAATGTTTGATATATTTTTTATGTGGCTGTGAGAGCCATGGTTGCAAAGTCATAGACTGGCTGACATTCCCCTGATTCTCTTGTTGGGTCTTCAGCTCCTGCATTTGAAAAGTAACAAATACCTCACTGTGAACAAGAGGCTCCCGGCTCTGCTGGAGAAGAATGCCATGCGAGTGACGTTGGATGAGGCTGGGAATGAGGGGTCCTGGTTTTACATTCAGCCGTTCTACAAGCTTCGATCCATTGGGGACAGTGTAAGTACAGATTCCCAGCCTAAGCAGGACTTCAGGCTGTGCCGCTGACCAGCACTGTCCGAGGCAACCAGGAGAATTTTAACGTTGGAGTCAGGCTTATCCTGTCTGGAGGAGGGAATCACTATGGAAACTATAGTGTTTTGGAAACAAGGAAAATTGGAGAGAATTGTGGCCTAAATACAGAAGCTGTGTGGTTTCTACTGGGTCTCTGAACAAAAACTTAAGAACAGTAACTTTGTCACAAAAATATCTGCCAGGTATGATGTTCCAAGGAGCCATCCCTGTCATTCTCACTCCATTAGTGGATCTGTTTTGGAAACAACCCACTAAGTCAGGGTCAGTAAAGGGAAAACAACAAAAATCTGCCATCAAGTCTCTGTTGACTCATGAAAATACTTGCTTTACAAATAGAAAAGTATGTCTCTTTTCTTCCAAAGATCAGATCTTACCTTGGGCGGGTACTCTGCTTCTACTCCTAAAATTAAGTTAGAGCTGATTGATACAAATGCCTTCACTGAACTCAACAAAGACCAGACCTTTTTTTTACTGTTCTGGACCCGTATTGAAAACACCTGTGTATAATCAGTGATCATTCTAGGACCAAACTTCACTCTTGGCCTTATAAGTATCACCTCTCCCAGCACAGCTGGGCTTTTAAAGGTGAGCATTCTTTCATTCACAGGGTGTTGGTTCTTCTTGGTCCTATAAGGTCTTATGACTATTCTACCCACACCCGCACCTCCCAAACCATTCTGCTGTCATGTTTTGTAACAAGCTCTGTGACTCCTTTCCAGGTGGTGATCGGCGACAAGGTTGTTCTGAACCCCGTCAATGCTGGCCAGCCCCTACATGCTAGCAGCCACCAGCTGGTGGATAACCCAGGCTGCAATGAGGTAAGAAAAAGTTTTGGGAGTGGGTGGGAAGTGGGTGCAAGGGCAAGTGTTCTTGAGGCCAAAGCATGTATATACTGAAGGGGACTTCAGTATCGACTTGGAGCAGTGTACACATTTTTCAGGCGAGGAAACTGAGGGCCAGAGTTAGGGCTCCCACATTAGCTTGCGTAAGTCTGTGCAATGGGTGACAGGTGAGGGCTGATACTCGCCCTTGTTCTCAGTTTGCTCTGCCTGTTAGGGGAGAATTTTCTGACACGTTCAGTCAGAATGGGACCTTTGGGTCCCATTTTTCTGGACATTTTTCTAATAGTCTGCCTAGATGGAATGCCTTTTTCTAATTCTTAATCTGCTCCGAGGCCACCAGCAACTCTTCAGAGTGTTGCCCTGCTTGCCTGCTTAATCTCTAAATTGTCTCACCTGTCGTGGACACGATGTCAGCAGAGACAATCTGTGGAGAAGGACATCATTCTTGGTAAGGTAGAGGGGCAGGAAAAAAGAGGAATGCCCTTAACAAGATGGATTGACCCAGTGGCTGCAACAATGGGCTCTGAAACCTAATAGTGAGGATGGCACAGGACTGGCAGTGTTCATTCTGTTGTGCACAGCGTCCCTGTGAGTTGGAACTGACTGGATGGTACCTAACAGCAGTAAGAAGCTTTTAAGGGACACAACAACATTAATTTATTTGTAACAGCAGTGTTTGCCCCCTGGTTAAGAACACAAGTCGTTTTACAAGCATTGAAAAGAAGAAGAAAAGAACAGAAGCTGTGGAGTTGGATATATGTGGGTTCAAATCCCAACCCTACCATTCTCTAGTTCTGTGACTGCAGTTACGCAGCTTCCCTGTCTCCGTGTCCTTGTCTCTGTGGAGGAGGAGGATGGCCATGGCTGGTGGTTGGGGGGTTGCCAAGGGTTAGAGGAGATGGTGGGAGTTAGCTCTGAGCCCTGTACCTGGCATATACTTAGTGCTCAGTGACTGCTGCTGTCAGCGATCCTCATGAATGGCTTGGAATGTATTCACTGGTTTGCCTTTTGTTTTACTTTTGTCACTCGTCTCGTTCTATATGTACTTGTTTTCGTTAGGCCTTTCTTTGCTGACTATGGAACGAGAAACTTGGAGGGAAAGGAAAATACAACTTCCAAAGGGGCAGGAGGGGTGGTTCCTTTTGTCGTAGTTGGAGCACACCTGGCGATTGTGCACCGGGACGGTGGATCCCCAGATGTTCTTCACAGGCCTGGGGGTTGCTGGTCCTGTGACCTGACTGGTGCTCGCCTTTCAGGCAGAGCTGGGCCTCGCTTCCACCTTGTAGTGAGGACATTGGGGACCAGATGACTCAGTGCTCGTGCGTTTGGTTAAGCTGCATAAGTAATATTGATTGTTTTGTGTTCCAGGTCAATTCTGTCAATTGCAACACAAGCTGGAAGATCGTCCTTTTCATGAAGTGGAATGATAATAAAGACGACATTCTAAAGGGGGTGCGTTTGGTTACTTCAGGAGTGGCGGTACCTGGCTGCTCCCGAGGCTCGGTCAGCTGTCTTAATAAATGTGTCTTTCTGGCTTCCTCCTTGTGCCGACTTAGGGTGATGTGGTGAGGTTGTTCCACGCTGAGCAGGAGAAGTTTCTGACCTGTGACGAGCACAGGAAAAAGCAGCATGTCTTCCTGAGGACCACGGGCCGCCAGTCAGCCACTTCGGCCACGAGTTCCAAAGCCTTATGGGAGGTGGAGGTAAGGAAACGGGTGGGAGGGATGAGCCTGTAGACATCCATTAGATCTAGGCAAGGATATGATTAAGAGAATTTGTCTACAGCCATCATCTAATCACAGAGATATCTTTAAACAAAAGTTCTTTAGGATGAACGGGTGCATGTGTGAACCGGAGCCCTAATAGCTGTGCTTTTTTATTTGCCTGCATGTATGTATACACCTGTCAGTTTCTCTCCTCTCTCTCCTCTCCTCCCTCTCTGTCTCCTCTTTCCTTCTCTCTCTCCCCTCCTCTTTCTCTCTCCTGTCCTCTGTGTGTTTCTCACACACTCGTGCACGCGCGCACACACACACCCACGGCTTCAAAACGTTGTAGAAAATGAAATTAAAAGGTAAAGGGAATTTCCAGTACCTTTTTGAAGCCTCCACGTAAACATACTTCATTGGCATTGCTTCTCTAGAAAACCCAGCCTCGAGCATCATAGCAACACGCAGGCCATGCCAGTGCAGCCCAGGGGTGGGCGGGCGTTTACCCAGGGTCAGGTTCAGCTCTTCACTGCTCTGTGCAGAGCCACCCTTGTGTCTGCTGTCATAGTCTTCCAGCCTGAAGAACTTCCTGAGGTCTGCACCATGCCGTTACCCCGGTAAAGCACGCAGTGCATTGGCTTTTAGTCTGTTTGTAGAGTTGCACAGTCATCGACAGCCCGTTTTAGAATAGTCTCATTGCAAAAGAACCCCATCCCCACGAACAGTTGCTTCCTCTTTCCCCTCAAATCTTGTCCCTCTCCCCAATCCTTAAGCAACCACAAATGTATTTTCTGCTGTATGATTTGTCTGTTCTGAGTATTTAATATAAGTGAAATGCACATGAAGACCGAGGAATGTGCGGTGAAGGTTTTGGAGCTCTTTTTCTCTGTACTCTTCCATACACTGCCCCACGAGCTCCAGCCACCCCTGTCTGGGTGATCTCTGGAGGAACCGTCTTCCTCACGAAAGGTGAGAATTCTGTCAGTGAACCACCACGAGGAGATTCTTTGTCAGCCTTGGAGAAATATTTAACGCTTACATAGTGATTTGATTCTGAAATTATGATACTTGCTAAGGTAGAAGAAGAGTAACTGCCATGGACGACCAGAAGAACAAACTTATCTGTTTTGGAGAAAGTGCAGCCAAATGCAAGGATGGTGCGGCCTCGTTGCGTACTCTGGACATGTTATCTGCAGAGATCGGTTCCAGGAGCAGGGCCTCACACCTGACATCCTCTGCTTGGATTCTCCCTGTGCAGATAGCAGCTCCCAGCAGAGAGCCACGGCTGCCCTGATCTGTTCTCCTTTGCCCAGAGCTTGCAGCCGTGCGCTGCCTGCCGTCCAGTCCTGAACACAGTTGATCTGTGTCTCACCCAGTTTGGTAATCGTCTCTGGCAGTTTCATAAATTTTGGGCAGTTTCTCATTGCTTATAGCATCTGTTAGGAGTGCCAGTTATTCAGCATGGCCAGGAGCTAAAGCTACACTTATTTTGTGAGGACTTCCGCCCAGACTCTGCAAGTTTTGTGCTTTAGCACTTAGGTATGTGGATGTGTTGCCACACATTAGTTCATCTACAGACCACTTATACAGCTTCCTATGAAATTTCTGGGTTTGCCTTTGTTGTCATGAGTGCTTTTAGTGGATGAAGTTCAGACTGTTAACTTCTGCTTCATTATGACTAAAAGTGGTTTACATTACAGTCCAACCATTCCTTGGTAACTTTTAAGCTGCCTTCAAGGCAGCTCTTGACTCCTTGTGGCCCCGTACAGGGAAATGCTGCTGGTTATAATCTCTCATCACCAGACTTGCTACCTGATATCATGGCGACCCTACAACACAGAGTACAACTGCCTCTGTGGGTTATCAAGGCTATAAATCTTTCTTTTTTTCTTCCCCCAACAGTTTTATTGGCACATAATTCATATATCATACAATTGTTTAATCATTCCATCACATCAAGGTACAGTCACCACTAAATCTATCTTAGCGTGCCTCCCCACTCCAGATTATATCGACTTTAAACTGAGTTGTGCAATCACGATCAGTCTAGTGCTTCCACCCCGCCACCCCCAATTTTATTGTTTACTCCAGAAATCCCATTCCCACCCCTGCATTCCTTGTAACACCTTGCATTAGTTACTATCATTATACATCCATTCCTCCTGTGCTTCATAGCTGGGGAACCCCAGAGAAAACCGTGAAAGACAAGTCACACTAAGGTGGCAAAGATAAAATCCTATTAGCATAAAGGCAAAAATACAGATGACACATAAGGGAGAAGACACTGCACCCCCCTGCACCCCCTCAATCAACATTCAAAAAGCCAGGGAAGGAATTTCTGTCATGGAACATCTAAGATATACTTGCACCCAGAACAAATTCAGGCTGTGTTTATAGGGAGGTCAACTGGCCAAGTACTGAGTTCAATCGAGAATAATCAAGATTACAATGGTCTCTGCCTGATAGCAAGGCTGCTCAGGATTCTTGCCTGTGGCTAGAGTGGATCTGCCAGTAGCTGGGTCTGACTAGATACTCTGAAGATGGGTTTTGGGCTCCCACTGTCCTCCATAACCTTTTCCAAACTGGGTTTTCAGAATTTTAGTGCTGATACTTTTCCCTTTACCATATTCAAATTTTGTAATTTCCCATCTTTGGATCACACAAGCTGGTGTGCTTCTTCTATGTGGACTTAGTTGGCTTCTCGCTTAGATGGTTGCTTTTTTGAATGCAAGCCTTTAAGACCCCAGACACTATTTCAATTGATAGCTGGGCACCTTCTGCTTTGTCACCACACTTTGCTGTAGCACTCCAGTGATCGTTTCATGAAGTTAAGTGTCGAGCAGGGCCATGATGTAAGAACTAATTGTTCTTAAGTGTGAGCCCATTTCTCGTTCCTGGGTCTATGTTTTTTCATTTGCTGGAACTTGGCAATTAAAACATGTCACATCATTCCATAGTTCAATCATGTCAAGAATAATTGCATAATTTCTTCCATAATCAGTTTTCAGACATACTTTTCCTTTTTGGGTTTCTTGACATCGCTTACTTCTTATCTCCCCGACTCCTCTAAATCTACCCCTACCCCCACTCCCTGGTCCCTTGTTTTGTTTTCTTTCCCTATAGGCTCAAGGTCCCTGGGTTTCATTTACCGAAAAACAGAAAACCAATTAACAGCTTCAAGAGGTGATCCCTAATGGCAATGTACCTCTAAGATACATCTTGACAGTAGCAGAAAGCCTCATCTCCTGAGGACCACTTGGTGGGCTTGAACCACTGACCTCACTTTTAGCAGCTCAATGCATAGCCCATGGCACCACCAGGCTGCCTACAGGTTGTTTCACATGAGACCTTTGTGATCCATAGGGTTTTCATTGGCAGATTTGGGGGAGTAGATCGGCAGGCCTTTCTTCCTAGTATGTCGTAGTCCCAAAGCCCTTGTTCGGCATCACAGCCTCACACAAGCCCCCACTGACAGAACAGTGATTGCTGTGCATGAGGTGGATTGGCCAGGAGTGAAGGCCTACTCTTCCACATGAAAGGCAAGAATTCGTCCATGAACCACCACTCCTTCATCAGAAGACTTTCGTTATTCACTGGAGAAATAGCATTTAACATTTACATGATATTTGGATACTGAAGTTATGATACTTGCTAAAATTACGAAGCATATAGAAAGTACCATGAACTGCTCGAAGAACAAACTAATCGGTCTTGGAGGAATTACAACCAAAGTACTCCTTAGAAGTGAGGCAGGCAAGACTGTGTGTCACCTACTTTGGACAGGTTATTGGGAGAGACCTGTACCTGAAGAAGGTCCTTGTGTGTGGTCAGGTTGAGGGTCAGCAAGAGAGAGGAAAGCCCACAACGAGATGGACTGACACAGTAGGTGGTTGTGGCAACGGTGCAGGCTGGGCTCTGCCTTTTTCTGTCCCACGTGTAGAGTCACTGTGAGTCTGTGGTTGGCACTTCCCCAGCAAAGGTTTGTTGGAAGATCCTGAATTTCTCTTTTCAGCGAGTGGATGCTACTCCTGAACGATGACTTCTCGGCTACATCTCTGACGCCTTGTCCTAGTGTGTGTGGGGTTTTCTCTGACTTTTATGAGTCTTCCTTCCTCTTGCAGGTTGTCCAACATGACCCTTGTCGGGGTGGAGCAGGGTACTGGAACAGCCTCTTCCGATTTAAGCACCTGGCGACCGGACATTACTTAGCAGCAGAGGTAAGTAGCAGACCACTCCTTCCCCTGCCCGGGCTGATGCACTCACTTCCCCTTCCTCCTGTACCTGTAGCAATTAGAAAAATGGAAGCTCTCACTCTTTTTCCTCCTCTCACTTTCCTGTTTTCTTCTGCCTCATTTCCCTGCTTATTGGAGGGGGGGTGTCCCTGGGTGGTGCATATGATGAACAGACTCTGTTGCTAACCAAAAGGTTGGAGGGTCAAGTGCACCCACAGGCACTTTGGAAGAAAGGCCTAATGACTGCCTTTGGAAAAATCAGCCAAGGAAGGCCTACAGACACAGATCTAATCTGACAAGCAGTCGGGTGCCATGGGCCAGTGAACTCAAGAGCAACTAAGGCAGGCACATGGAAAAAGAAGAAAGCATGGCGTACCTGTTCCATTGCTGGCCACATTCTGATAGAGAAGCGGGAAGAGAGTAAGCTAGAAAGTCACACTTGTCTGGGCTTTGAGGTGATCTTTTTACAGCTGCTTTCCCCATATCTTAACCACCGAGCCCCACTTGTAACAGAAGTGATCAAGCTGTGGCCCTCGGAGGACCATAGTATATAACAAACACCCAGGTAAACAGTACATGAATTATTAAATAATTCCACAGGAAAGTCTGGTTTCTTGCAGCATTAGCAGAACAGACAGTGGCTTATCTCTTTCTGGTAGGGTTGTCAAAACCAAAGAACGTCACTTTACCATAAGTGACTCTGAAGGGTGTGTGAGGGAAGGAAACGTTCGTGTTGAAGGGCAGAAGGAATCCCCTTTATGAAATCACACCGCCTTCCCACCAGGCGACAGATGTTGCGTGTTCCTCTGATGGACAATGCATATTCATGTTAGGTTCTAGTCATCCGTCCAAGACACTTCCTGTTGCCTCAAGAGACTTCGTGGAGCGTTTCAAGGGGATGAGTGGGTGGTGACAGGACAGCTTTTTGGCCACCGGCCCAAGGAATGCTGGGTTTAAATCTGCCAAACTCCCTGGGATGCCTGCTCCTTGTGCGAACTGATGATTTTGGAAACATTTAAGCACAGAAGATCAAGAAGCCTAAGTTGAAATTTAAAATGGGGACAGAGGTAGGGAATTATGAACCAGCAAGCCAGCTGTGAGAGAGGTTGGTCACGTGGCTTTTGCCGAAGCTCACGGTGTTTCCTATCTGCTAGATACTGAGGCAAGAGTGGTTCTTGCTGAAAGCCTAACACTTACTGCTTTTCACCAAAATTATCAACAACCGGGTGCTGGTCTTCTGTTTACCTCAGGCTTTCACTACTGCGCTGCTAGTTAATTCCGTGTGTGCCTTCTGTCTATACTTGAGAGCCGTCTGCTGGTCACTGGTGGATTGTGCCCTGTGTGTTGTGCTCCTGTGTTGTTGTGGCATGCTAGTTTTGTGAAGAGGGAAGGGACACGCTCTTAGCTGTTCACAGATGGGTGCAGGCCGTCGAGTGTTCTGTAAGTGGGGCCGAATCCCTGGAGAAAGCAACAGCTGTTTTAATTTCCTAATGGTTCTTTTTCATCAGGTAGACCCTGACTTTGAGGAAGAATGCCTGGAGTATCAGCCCTCAGTAAGTATGGGAAAGAGCCTTCTTGTCTTCCCGTGGTAGAGTGAGGGCAAAGGATCTGCAGCCCATTGAAGAACCTGTCCCTGGAATGAATCACTGCGTGCCAGGGAGGGAGGCCTCATGCGGCGCTGGAAGAAGGGCTTACTCTGTGTTGCCCTTGGAGAACAGTCACATCTCCGTGTCTGAGCAGGGCAGGGACTGTTGGTCCTGACATGCCTTCTGTGTCTAGGCGAGGGGTCTCCACACCTACGTTGGAGACCTCCCTTCAGGGTCTCTGATGCCGGAGACAATGCTGACCCTGCGGCAGAGGTTGACCTTTTGCATATGGTTTCCCCGTTCTTATGGACCTCAGTGATGGTTCACTTAGGTTTTTCACGGAGAGCGTGTGGGGGAGCATGTTACTCCAGCTGTGGACCTCGGGTTCCACACCCTGTTGTCTCACCACCTAACCAGTCTTACTGCAAAGTCAAAGTGGGTCTTAGTGTAGACCGTGGCACACAGTGGAACTTTCTGTGGAGATTCTCAGTCATCTTGGCCCTTGGGTTCAGACGGCCACAGTGAAGGCTGGAGAAGGGGAGAAGTAAATCGACTTTCTGTGGCTGCTTGCTTCTGTGCTAGGATTACGAAGTACAACAAAGCACTGCACAGGGCTGCTCTGTTTGGGTGTGTCTGCTGGTCATCTCTTACAGGTCCCAGACTTAGTTGGCTGGACATTCCCTTTTCAGTAAAAAAAATACACACACGTATTCACACACCCCTGGTAATGAAAGCGTTTGTGTTATAGCCCATAATGTAGAATAAAGGGTAGACACCTACATCTGCAGCTCCTTGGATTGTTCCAGCGCCCCCAGGGGGTGGTGGCTCCCACTCTGGAACACATTGAAAGGGGATGGAATCTTGATTAAGGAAAATTGGAGTGGAAAAACCAGTAAGAAGTTTGGGTGGAGATCATGGAAAATATATTGCCCTTGGAATGTGTTCTGCATTCTGCCATGAGAGTTAGCTTTCTAGATGTCCTGGGGTCGGGAGGAGCTCAGAGGAGTCTCTCTCAGTCTTGCTAGGGAGAGTCCTCTTGTCCTGCTCCCCGATGGAATTCCTGGGCTCACAACTTGCTCTTCTGCCTCATAACTCTCCCTCTGGGTTCCATCGGACAAGCTCCCCTTCCGCAGTGTTCACAGGGCTTGGAAAACACGACCCGGTGCAACCCTCTGCCATCGTGTCCCAGAGGTCTTTTGTAAACCCTCCATGCCGAGTGCTCCTGGTGTTGTGGTTTGCACTTGGCCGCTTGGGCTGGCGGGGGCATTACTCCTCATGGTTCTGAACGGACAGCCTTTCTGTGACCCACGCCCATTGGTTGTCCTCGTGCTGCTGTCTGGGGTCGCACGGAGAAGCCTCACTGTGTGGTTACTTTGAAGGAGAGCTGCGGCTTCCCGCAGGAAGAGCTGCTGTTCATGGGAACCTGGGCTCTGGGGGTGCGGTGGGGACGCCTCTTCTGTTTAATGACAGTTCTGAACCACAGGCTTCTCTGAGGAAGAAAGACCGGGCTTTCTGCTCCCACGAAAAGTTACGGTCTCTGAGACTCACAGGAGCAGTCCTAGGGCCACTGTGAGCTGGTAGTGTTTTTGGTGGAGCTTGTTGGGGAGGCTGGGGAAGAGAAGTGTCCTTCCCCTGCTCAAGGACCATGTGTCTCCCTGAACCTTGGCACCCGCCCTCATTTGCCCTTGTGCTGGCCCTTCAGTCACTTGCCTGAGGCCAATCAAAGGCAACTCCAGGCCCCTCTGGCTTGGCAACCTTTTGTGCATGTGCCTTTCGTCCACTAGGTGGCAGGCGCAGACTGCGCACAGAGAAGGGGCCCCTGGCCTGTGGGCTTTAGGCTGCAAGGCTGGGTGCTTTTCTAGAGGTCCCCCTCCTGCTGCATGGAGTCAGTGCTGACTCATGGTGATCCCTGGGGGTGTCCAAGACTGTAACTGGTTTCAGGAGTAGAAAACCCAGCCTTTCTCCCGTGGAGTTGCTGCCAGCCAACCGTGAGCATCATAGCCCAACGTATAACCACGACCCTACCAGGGCTCCTCGCGTTTCTGAAGTCTAGCTGCCATCCTACAGCCCAGCTCTGTGTCTGAAATTCTAACCAGGTCAGGGTTTATTCTGAGACCAGTATGTGGTACACTTTACCAGGTAACCATGATTAGGAGAGAGCATCTCCTCTTCGAAGCATTTTTCTCCCTCAGAGGTTGTCCAGGTGTTGCGGTGGTCTCCAGTTAGCTGCAGATAGGTGGCGGCAGCTTCTATAATTTATGTGTTATCTCTTGGGAAGGAGTTCTGTGACCTCATCACCTAGTAATGATCAATGCAGATTAACCCCGCTACCACCCCTTAGCTAACGTAAGGCTTGATTAGACAGAGCTACAAGATAGTGGGCAGTCATGGTGTGGGATGTGTGGCAAGTGTACTATTGCTAAGGAACCCTGGTAGACGTCCACCCTGCATCTTCCCAAAGGTGCCTCACTCAGCTGAAGAACCTGGCAGGCTACTTCTGAGAAATCATTGTCAACCCTCCGCAGCACTGTTTCACTCCGACAAACCACAATTGAACAGGGTATTCTTGGAGGAGAGAGGCGGAGCAGGGACAGAGGCAGAGAGGTCTCGGGCCCTTTCTGTTTTGTTTTCCTGAACAGATGGAAGCTTGAACTGATAGAGCAGATCGTTTCTGGCCTATACTCGTAGATACCCGGCCCCGTGGAATTAAGGTTCTTGCGTGTCTTCTCCTTTGCTCCCTGCTCTGAGTTCTTTATCTAGATTCGTTCATCTTCCTAGTGAAGTCCTCCCCATGTCCTTGGGAAGGAGGCCGTGCGTCCGACTGAGGGAAGCGACCTAGTGACGGAGAAAATGTGGCTTTCCCAGGAAAGACCAGGGCTTGTTAGCCACGGCGTAACCCCATGTCGAGCCACGGGGTGGAGGCCGCAGGACCAGATGCTCACCCCAGCATTCCATTCCCTCCTTTGGCAGCTGCTGTTGGAGGCCTTTGGGAAACACTTCCCTGGAATGTGTGTTTACAGTTTCCTCGTTGTTCTCCAGTCTTCCCTGCCAGAGGTTTACTGTGTCTTAGCTAAGTCCCTAATGTCCTGGAGAGGGTGTCCCCCCACAGATGTCATCAGTGACCCTCCGTGATTAATTATGAACCTGTCTTTGTTTTTCAGGGCTAATCAGACTTCTCAAATATTTCTCTTGGCCACTCCGGGATTGCTGATGACGAATGCTTAGCATTGGGTTGTTTAATTTTTCTGTTTTCTCGTGGATGGAGCTGTGGGCTTTCGTCTCAGATCAATGATCATTGTAGGTCGAGCACAGCTGCCCATCACTAAATCTACAGGATATGCCCCAAAGTGCTTCTCTTCTCCCCAAGCTCCTGCAGATGGACATGGTTATGGCTAAATTCATGGTCACCTGTAGTTCGTACTTGTTACACAGAAATGATCAAGGTGGCCCCAGATGGTCCAGGTGTCTGTATTATAATGCAGGGAAGCAGAACATAGACATTCTTGGCTTAGGTGACCCCTGCCATCTTTCCTGACTGCTCTATGACTGCCTGCTGTTGACATCCACTCAGGTCTCTCCTCTGTCCCTGTGGACTGTGCAATGACTCCACCGAGGGAGAGTTAGGGACATATTGGCTCTGACAGGCGACTTTTCCTCCCCAGGTGGACCCTGATCAGGATGCATCTCGAAGTCGGCTGCGGAACGCCCAAGAGAAGATGGTGTACTCCCTGGTGTCCGTGCCCGAAGGGAGCGACATCTCCTCTATCTTTGAGCTTGACCCTACCACGCTGCGTGGAGGTGATAGTCTTGTCCCAAGGTATGCTTTTCAAGTGGCTTCTCCTGAGAGCCAGGGCTGGTAATTGTGGCTTGGCCCGGGTTCCTAGGCATCGACATCATCATTAGAATTCTGAGTGGCACAAAGGGTGGCATGCTCAACGTGTAGCCAAAACACTCAATTGGCCGTTTCCACCGCCTAGAAGGCTAGCCTGGCAATCCGTTCCAGAAAGACCATCGCATTGGGAACTCTAATGAGTTCCCAGGAGGCAGAATCTATGCTCACCAACCACCTCTAAGAATAAATCAGCAATGACTCATCTCTGTACGGGATTTGCTAACCGATACGGACTCCTGTCCAAATGATTGGTGTCTGGTGTTTGTAGGAATTGCCTTTTCAAGTGCTCAGTGCTTGAACCAGAAGTGCTGCATGGAACTAAACAGACAACAGCTCCAGTAGCTCATTACTTCTAGCATCCTTGACTCCCTTCTTTCCCAAGCCTAAAGAGTAGCCTGTGTTACTTCGATAACCATTGACAAGCAGGGATAGTCAACCACTATCCTATTCAGTTGAATAGACAATTGACAAGAAATCCTAGAAAATGAAATTTCTGAAATTCACTTTGTGCATAGTACACTTACTAAAATTATTGAAGGGTTAGTCGAGCATTCCTCACTTGCTTTATTAAATTTAGCTCTTAAATTTATTGCCTCGGAATGTTTTCTTGGGAAATAACTTGGCTGTCAAAGGACCAAAAGCCTATTTTTCACAACAAAATCAACAGTTTTGATTCCAATGGCTCATGTTTACTGAATGCAAACTAAAGTACTAAGTCCTTCCCCTGTAGTATGTAGTATAATCTGCATACACACACCAGCCCTATGCGATCCGTCCTATGATCTGTGTGGTTCTATAGATAACGACCCAGGGGATCAGAGCATTGAAGGAATTGATCACAAGTCAGTGGATCTATCTGCAGAGCCCAATACCCTTCTGTTAAACAGTAGAATTATTGGGGAATTCTCCTAATTTGTCAGTGCACCTCGGTGAGGGACAGTCTCTCTGCCTGGTTTGTGGCTTTGACATATGGCCCCTTCCCACCGAGTTTCATTTTGTGTTCACCATTGAAGCTCTTGAACAATGCGCTCCACCCCGAAACTCGTCCCTGCAGCTTGGGTGCTGTGAGAGCAGGACAGCCTCCAGCTCCGGGCCCCACGCCTGTGGCACATTGGTCCACCAGAGGGTACTTGGTGGCATTTATTTGGCAAAGGAGGAATGGGAGCTGGCTATGTCCCCCAGTTGACTGGGAACCCCCTCATATGGTAGGACGAGGAAACATAGACTAGGTAACCTGGTCAAACCTGCTTCTATAACTCGTCCATTCATTGCTGCTCCTTGATTGGCAGCCCTTCTTTGTGGGCAATAGCCTACAGGTGAATAGACTGTGAGCCCTCAAGCAGGAAATGTGTGTGTGCACCCTGGAGGCAGTGTGTCTGGTCCGGTCTACCAGGCACTGATGAACTTCATTTTTTAACCAAACTTCCTTTGCCACCCACCTTAGAGCCAGAAGCATAAGTGGTTTGGTTCATTGGTTCTGTGGAATGATAAACATTCATAGGCATCGTATATTCATGCCCATGCATCTTAAAGTAGTTTTGCAATTTGCTAGTTTGAAGATCAGAAAGCCTAGGGGTAGGCTGGTGAGCATCCAGGGAATGTAGTCACTGAAGGGATGTTTGTGATGGTCACTAGTTCCAAGCATTCTTCCAAGTCCCTATGAGATGGGTAATGCCAAAATATGGAGTCTATTACAGTGAACCCTCGCCACTTCGCGCTTCGACTTCCGCGGCTTCACTCTATTGCGGTTTTTGCGTAACAGCGCATGCTCTGTCATTACTGCCACTGATTGGCTCATACTGTACA